CAAAGCTAGACTGTTGCGGCTGCTTAAGATCTATGGTTTTACTGAGTCCAGTCATGAATGCAGTTTTATAGAACATTAACTTTTTCTTCTTGGGATATATTATGGATGTTCATGAGGAGTTAAGAAATGCATGGTTGTTATCATATGTGGTTACTTGATTTCATCAAGTAAATTGTCATGTTTATTAATGTGTTTAAGTTTTATGCATTCTTCTTTTCCCTCTATGTTAAAGTTCATTCTTAAGCTAGGAAATCTAAAGATTATAGGGATTTCTATTTTCTTAGTTGCTGACTACTGACTGTTTATTCATTAGACACATGTTGCACTTGATGTATTGAAGAAGGATAATGTATCAGCTGCTTTATTTGCTCCGGGATGGATCTATGAGACCGACCAACCTCCTGATTTTCAGACAGCTCAAAATAAGTATGCACTTATTTGTGATTATTTACTGAGCATTGCCTTTCTTTTTATACAGCTTCATACAATTGAAATTTTCTTACAAAATCTTTCAAGAAACAATTGTTTATCAGTCTTCCAAGCTTTGAAGTTTTCATATATTTTGTTTCCTTTTCTGTGTAATCTAAAAAAGCAGCAAATATTGGTTTTTCAAATGGCTGGCCACTTAGTGTTTTTCAGTTTTTGTAACTCTAGAAGATAATTATGCCGATTGAACAATTATTTGATGTTGTAAAATTTGCATCTAAAAGTTTTTATGATTTTCTCTAGTCACATACTGGACATCTATATTATTCTAATACAAACTAGCATTAGTTTGGCTGAGATCCCCTCCAGTAACCTGGGATCTGTAGCCCAGATGTGCACCAGATCAATCCCATCTCTGCGTGGCATAAGTCAGGGAAATCATCAATTTTCATAGTTACTAGAAGGGCCTTGGTCGGTCTGTATCTTAAATTGACAAGCATAGTGATACAAAACCTTTACTAGTGGTATATGCATTTCCATAGAGGCTAATGCTATTTTATTGTCTGTCAGAGTCTCGATACCTCTTGACTGCTCTTTTGCAGTTTATGCTGTTGCGATAGAGAAATTTATCTATTATCTAGATTTTCAGAACTCATCTTTTCCATTTTTATTTCTATCATTTGGTCGGTTGACTGCTAGTTTCTTATGACAATATGCCTCTTATCCATTTATTGCTGAAGGCTTATTCTAATAATTGATACTGTTACAACCAAAACAAAAAAAAATGAATTGATGCTGCTACCTGCAAACAACAAAGTTGTTTTTATTCTATTGGAAAAGATATAACTGCTTCTCGAGCGTAACTTTGAACTGGTTTGGGTTTTGAAGATGGTGGTCTCTTGTCGAGAAATCTTGGGGAACACTACAAACTTATCCAAAAATGCTACCATTCTACTCAAATTTTGATCAGGTGTAGTAATGTTGAATTCTTATTCCTGCCTCTGATTCAACACAGGATGCTACAATGTAGCATATTCTGCATCTTGATATTCTTATTGCTTGCCTTTTATACTATTCAGGGTCACGGTTTTCATATTTCCTCAGAGGGAAGCCAAGTGTCAGATGTGCCTTGGGATAACATTTCTTGCCAAGGCTTGCAGGTGTGTGCTGAACAGAGTTGCTCTTTATTCTGAATGTAACGATAAAAATGAATTTTAGCAGTCTTGTACTACCTGTACTCATGACTTAAACTTCCTCTGCAATGTAAGCCATTTATGTTATTAGCCAATATGCCATTGTTTTTTAATGTGCTGACCATGTTTAACCTATTCAAGTTTGTTCCTAATTCTCTAATCATGGCAGCCTTTCCTTGAGTTCAATGACAAGCCTGCTCAAGATCCCATCCAAGTCCTTGTCAAGTAAGTTTAAATTGTCTTTGAGTAGGTGATCTTTCATGACATAAGGGATGCAATACATCATATCATGATTTTTTTTCATAAACTATGTTGGAAGGAAAAAAGTTATTAGTTGATGATATGCAGTTTTAAATGTGTTTTAAATGTTTTGATTTGTCATAAAATGTTAGATTGACATCTATTCTATGTACTCTGCGGGTTAAAGGGAGGGCCATCTTATGATTGAATCTCTTTTATAAGCAAACTTTTCACTCAGATAAGCAACTAAAAAATTCACGAGTAACAGATGTTTCTTTTGGTCCATTGCATATTTTTTGTAAAATTATTTTTCTGTATTTTTCCTTTTTCTGTCTCTTACAACTTGACAATATAACAAAATGATTACTGCGAGGTTGTGCTGTTTTTTCCCTTCTATTAGGGAAGTTTGTTAGCTTTTGTCTTTTTCTTCCTTCCTTTATCTATAAAATGTTGTTGATTATCGATGAATAAAAAAAAATAGAGTGAGAAGAAAAGAGAAGTTTTTCTTATTCTCAAGTTTTTCATGGTATCAGAGCAAACCTGATCCAAATTCTTCAGCATCCCTCTTGCATTCAATAGACAATGGATGAACAGACCCCTTCTCCGCCCGAAGTTCTTTTGGGCTCTCACCTTCCGGTGCCTGACCGCCATGCTCTGGCTGATCAAGCTCCATCTTTCGTTACTGGCTATCGACTAAATGACAGTAACTATCTTCGGTGGTCGTCCTCAGTGTTGATGTTCATCCGAAAGAAATGCTGAGATGAATATCTCACTGGAGAGCTCTCACCTCCTCTCACGAACGATCCAAATGCTCGGATATGGAAAGTTGAGAACAATCTTGTTATGTCTTGGTTGGTGAACTCAATGACCACTGAGATTGGCGAAAATTTCCTCTTTTATGAGACTGCGCACGATATCTGGGTCGTAGCTCGTGAGTTCTACTCCACTTGCGACAACACTTCCGCCATCTTTGAAATTAAAGCAAACCTTCATGACCTGTGGCAAGAAGAAAAAACAGTAACTCAATATTACAATTTTCTTACTCGAAAATGCAGCAACTTGATGTTTTTGAGGAACATACTTGGAGCTACCCAGAGGATGTCAGGAGATTCTGAAGTATCGTGGAACAGAGATGAATCTTCAAGTTTGTTTTCGGACTGACCAAAAATCTCGACGAGGTAAGAGGACGCATTTTTGGAACCAAACTTCTCCCGAACATTAGAGAGGTGTTCTCGGAGGTGCGACGCGAAGAAAGCAGGAAGAAAGTGATGATGGGTGACTCGCAACTCTACCCTACCCTGCTGAAAGCATATATCTTTCACCCGAGACTGGTACTGTTCTCACAAGTCGGGTGATTAAGCAAAAGGGACGGCCATGGTGTGAATACTGTAAAAAGTCAGGACACGTTCGTGGAAGATGCTGGAAACTTCATGGGAAACCAGCTGAGAAGGAATCGGCTGAGAAGAAGAAAACACGAAAGCAGAAAATGGAGGAAATTCATCGGGGCAATTTTATCTCAACAGAGGAGGGATCCACTGCAGCAATTTCTACCGAAAGTCCCTTATTTAGTCCTGAACAAATCAGCCTCCTTCAAAAATTGTTTTCACCCAATATGGTTCTCAGTAATGTTTCTACAGCTCACAAAGGTAATTTTTCTGGTTCTCAATTTATCCACAAAAAGGGGAATACGGATTATTGAATCAGGTGCTTCTAATCATAATACTGGGGATATCTCATTATTCAAGAAATATAGTAAGTGTAGAAATAAATTCTCAATTAAAATTGCTGATGGCTCTAACTCCCAGGTCGAAGGAACATGAATAATTGTACGGACACCCAAGTTAATTTTGTACTCTGTACTATATGTTCCAAATTTGGATTACAATCTCCTGTCAGTAAGTAAATTATCACAAAACTTGAATTGTGTGGCTACATAATTCTAAACCGTGTGAATTTCAAGACTTGGACTCGGGAAAGACGGTTGGCAATGCTAGTATGGATTCGGGTCTTTATGTATTGCAAGTTGATAACTCTTTTCTTAATAGACAAACTCATCATGCAGTATGTACTAATCCTAAATCTGTAAACAATTTAAATATAGAATGCCCTATCATATTATGGCATTACCGTTTAGGACATCCTAACTTCGTGTACTTGAAAAAAATATTTCCTAGTTTGTTTCAAAATGAAAATCCAACTTCTTTTCAATGTGAAGTATGTCAGCTATGCAAATATATTCGAAATTCATTTCCCAATTCTGTTTACAAACCCACAAAACCTTTTTTGTTAATTCATAGTGATGTATGGGGTCCCTATCGGGTCACTAATATTAGCGGAATAAAATGATTTGTATCTTTTGTTGATGATCATACTAGAATTAACTGAATTTTTCTCATGAAAGAAAAATATGAAGTTGGGCAGATTTTTAAAAAATTTCACATTATGATTCAAAATTAATTTCACACCAACATCCAAATAGTGAGGTCAGATAATGGGTGTGAATACTTTGAAACCATTTTGAACCAATATTTTTTTGGCCATGACATTATCCATCAAAGTTCTTGTGTCAATACTTCACAACAAAATGGCATAACTGAAGAGAAAAATAGACACATTTTTTAAGTAGTCCGATCAATCATGTTCACTGCCCACATTCCAAAATTTCTTTGAGGAGAGGCTGTTCTCATCGCTGCATACTTGATAAACCGTATGCCCTCCCGAACTCTCTCATTTCGAACACCCTATGATATCCTCCTCAGAGTCTTTCCGCAATCTCATATTCTTCATACCCTTACCTATAACGTTTTTTATTGTTCCGCCTATGTTCATGTTCATACTCATCTCAGGGCTAAACTTGACCCACGAGCCATTAAATGTGTTTTTATTGGATACTCACCAAGTCAAAAAGGATACAAATGTTTTTGTCCCAAGACCCGTTGTTTCTACAACACTATGAATGTTATTTTATTTGAAAACCAGTCTTTTTATCCCACTATTGATATTCAGGGGGAGAATCCTAATCAAGAATATCAAATATGGAATATAAGTACACCACCTCTCACTACACCACCTCTCACTTTTTCTCCCCTCACTATTCCCGAGTCCTCATCAAATTTTTCTGAAATCAAATATCAAAGAGTCTGAAACTAAACCTATTCCTACTATCAACAAAGAGTTACGTATCTATATTAGGAAGCACAAAACTCCCGTTAATAAAGATTCGGAATTAACTACACATTGCCATGAGTCTATTCCAGTTCCAAGCAGTAAGAACACATCAGACAATGAGTTTTCAGGCACAATTTCTGATACCGTTACCACCACTGATCATGATACTGAGTTACCTATTGCTTTGCGGAAAGGAACTCGATCTTGTACTAAACACTCTATACAGGATTTTATTTCATTCGGCAATTTGTCCTTAAAGTATCATGTATATATAAGCAAACTTGATGGTAGCCCCACTGAATCTAAAACCATTCATGAAGCCCTTACATTACCAATGTGGAGAGGTGCTATTCAAGAAGAGATTAGGACTCTTGAAAAGAACAAGACTTGGAAACTGATAGAACTTCCACCGGGAAAACATAAAGTTGGGTGCAAATGGGTATTTACTGTAAAACACAATCCTGATAGAAGTGTGAATCGATACAAAGCTCGTCTAGTAGTTAAAGGCTTCACTCAGTCCTACGGGATAGATTATCAGGAGACATTCGCCCCAGTAGCTAAGCACAACACTATCCGAATATTACTCTTTTTTGCCTCTAATTTTGATTGGCCTTTCTATCAACTTGATGTAAAGAATACATTTCTCAATAGAGATTTAGAAGAAGAGGTATATATGGAAGTTCCTCCAGGTCTTGAGACCACATATAAAACTCACAAGGTATGCAAACTCAAAAAGGCACTCTATGGTCTAAAACAATCTCCGAGAGTTTGATTTAAAAGATTTACCAAAACAGTTAAACATATGGGATATGAGCAATGTCAGTCTGATCATACTTTGTTTGTCAAGAACAGTGCCTTTGGTAAGAAACCTATCATAATTGTTTATGTTGATGATATTATTTTAACAGGTGATAACATAGAGGAAATTCAAAAATTCAAAAGTTTTCTTGCCACGAAATTTGAGATAAAAGATCTTGAAGCACTTAGGTATTTTCTGGGAATGGAATTTGTTCGTTCTAAAAAGGGGATATCTGTGTCACAAAGGAAATATGTTCTTGACCTGCTAAAAGAAACAGAGATGCTTGGGTGTAAACCAGCAGAAACTCTCATGGAAACAAGTACAAAAGTTGGATTTAAAAAGGGCAAGCCGGTTGATAAAGAAAGATATCAGAGACTTGTGGGCAAACTTATATATCTTGCTCATACTAAACCTGACATCAACTTTGCTGTAAGTACTGCAAGTCAATTCATGAACCAACCTACTGATATTCATATGAATATGGTATATAAGATTTTAAGATACCTTAAGAAAACTCCAGAACAAGGATTATTTTTGCAAAAAACAATTAACAGGAATACTGAAATCTACACAGATACTGATTGGGCGGGTTCTATAACTGAAAGAAGATCTACATCTGGGTACTATACTTACGTTTGGGGAAATTTATTCACTTGGCAGAGTAAGAAACAATCTGTTGTGTCACGAAGGAGCGCAGAAGCTGAATTTCAGTCACTTGCTCATGTAATATGTGAGAGAATTTGGTTAAAAAGAGTTATAATGGAAATGAAATTCTTGGTTGCTACTCCAATGAAAGTATGGTGCGATAATAAAGCAACAATCAGCATAGCTAAAAATTCGGTATATCATTATCGAACTAAACACGTGGAAATAGATATGCACTTCATCAGGGAGAAGATTGAAGATCAGACCATTACAATACTCCACGTTCCTACTAATAACCAAACTGCAGATATTTTAATAAAAACACTTTCCAAAGAACTTTTCAACGAATTAATATCCAATCTAGTTTTACTAAATATTTATGTAACCTAAATTGAAGGGGAGTGTATAATTATTTTTTTGTATTTTTCTTTTTTCTATCTCTTACAACCTGGCAATATAACAAAATAGTTACTGTCAGGTTGTGCTGTTTTTTCCCTTCTACTAGAAAAGTTTGTTAGCTTTTGTCTTTTTTTTCCTTCCTTTATTTATAAAATGTTGCTGATTATCGATAAATAAAAAAAAATAGAGTGAGAAGAAAAAAGAAGTTTTTCTTATTCTCAAGTTCTTTATTTTTCATCTTCTTCATGACATTAGACAGAATATACTATCCATTCCTTCAGCATGATTGGAACAACGCATTGTTTCTTTGGAGAAGTATTATTTTAGTTATTATAATCTAATCATAGTAAAAGAACACATTATGCCTTCACGATCGTAGTTTGAAGGAGGCATCTTATAGTGGAGGAGGAAATATCACATTTAAAGGAACTCTTGAAGACGCCGATTTCACAACAAGACTTTTTAAGGGAGAGCTTAAGTTGGGGGACTCACCCATTTACTTAACCTATTCTGTAAGTTCTTATTTATGGTTTTAAGTTTTTAAAAGCATTTTACTTTCATAAAATATTACTAATAAGAGTTTAACTATGGAGGATACCAGTTGCGAATTTTAAGAAGATTAGCACGTTATAGGATAACATCCACAGAGTGACAGAGAGACCCAAACTAATAAGCAACACTTTTCTTGCATATTCCTGTCCTTATTGTATCTGGCTTCATCCTTTTTAACCAAGAACTATTTAACTAATGCAGGTGAAGTCGGAGGGTAATTCTCAACTGGGTCTTCTTCTTCAGTTCTCTTCTAGCATGAATGAAAGAAAGTCGGTAGTTGTGGCATACAAGGAAACGAAGCTGTTCTCCGGAAAATTCAGTGATGTGATTGTGCCACTTCAAGTTGAATCTCCAGATATGGCTGCAGGATGGGTTGTACTAGAGAGTAGCATTGCAATGATTGGATACACACTAACTGAAATCCATGCTCTGTGCTACAAGCCCAAGACTGACCTACATAGGTTCATATTAGAATCCAGTTCCCATCCAGCAGGATACTTTGCCGTGCTTGGCAATCTTAAAATTAAAACTTTGGAGCAGAACTCCAGGGAAATAGATTTTCCTCCATCGTCTTCTTGGCTTGTTGAGTATCAGTATCTTAAATGGTCTTCAGATCCTCAGGGTTCAAGGATCATTAGTTTTAAGTTAACTTGGAAGCTAAAAGTTGGCAATGATTCTTTGTTCTCAAAATACAATATTTATGTTGAGAAACTAGCACAGGGAAGCTCTAGAAAACAAGGAGAAAAGCTGACAAGGAGGCAGGAGTATCTCGGAGTCTCACAAGTGGAAGCGTATTATGTTTCTGACCTGAAAATTCCTACTGGTACTAACAGTCTTAAATTCTTTATCCAAGCCTGTACTGTTGACGGTTCTTATCAGAAGCTAGATGATTCTCCATCTCTTCAACTTGAAGTCGAAGGTCAGTGATGTGAACTGCCTTCAGATTTCTTATGAATTCTTCGATGAGAATTTCTGCTTTTCGTCTGACTATAGTTGTATCATGTTACAATGGAAATAAACAAGCAGATGTGCTTTGTATTGAGCAGTAGCAGCTCCTTCTATCTTCTGCAGTTCAATCTGAAAAAATGGAAATAAATAGTAGTTTATTATGCATTTATCTTGGATATGCTGATGATGTTTTCCCTACTGCATATCTTTCAAGTTATATGTTGTCACAATTAGTTATCTGAAAATGCCCAATTTCTCTGAGAATATTATCAACATTTTTAGTATGGTCCATGTAAAGCTTCTCCGTTTATAAGTTACAGAACAGGAATTACCACTTTGTGCTGCATGCCTAGACAATGTATTCACATTGTCAGAAATCCGTGCAGTATATTACAGTCCTAAGCCTGTCAAACCTGTGGATTAGAATCCAGTTGCTGTAGACAGAGTGTTTTATTTCACTTGACCATATTACAATCTGAACTTTTGAGGAAAATAATTCCTACTTAGTCAGGTAGATTCAAGGTAAAAAGAGGATAGATTCAAATATAAAAAGTTACAATTCAATTCTATAGACAAGGATATTATAGCAGTCAAGTAAAAGATCGGATAGAAGTTAAACAAGAATTGAACCCAAATTAGCTGCGAAGTGTTAAATAAAAATAGAAGGATGGAAATGATTCTTTGTTCTCAAAATATAATATTTATGCTGAGAAACTTGCAGAACAAGGCTTTATAAACAGGAGAAAAGCTAACAAGGTTGCAGGAGTTTCTTGAAGTTACTTAAGTCGAAGCCTAGTATGTTTCTGTACTAGTTATTCCCTTTGACACTAATACTCTCGAACTTCATTATTCAAGTCTGTGCAGTTGATGGCTCTTTCCTTCTATGCATATCTTACCATGATAAATCGCATGAGCATAATATCATATATTTCCTTCTATGCATGTCTGATATCTCCTATACCATATTTGTCTAAGTTTTTTGTTGTTATTAGAAGACATCTGAAATTGCATACATTGAACTGTCCCCATTTTCTGAGTAGAATAGTATTAATGTTAAAGCTATGGATTGTATAATCTGATCTTGCACTATTGAATCATGAGGTTGTGAAATGCAAATAGACTTCTCTTGGAATTATTTGCAGGCCTGTGGGCACCACAATTAGAAAATAGAATGATTCAAGCACCCATTTGCAGACATGTGAAAAATGAGAAAAGTTTTGTTCAAAAATTCTAACCAAATGTGTATGATGTCTTTTAAAATATTTTATGTCTACCTTGCAGATGAACTATGCAGACATATCAGAAATGACGCAAATATTTTCAGGTTTAACAATTCAAACTAATTGTGCGCACCTCGGGAAGTTTCTTTTCAGGAGCTTCCATGTTTTTCTTTGACATCTTTTGATTTTACTGACATTTAGTTCCTAGAAGGTAAGATTTAGCATAGTAGTAGAGGAGCAGTCAAAATGAAGTTAAGAGGGAAGGGTAAAGTGTGATTTTTGCAGTCTACACCAGAGTTAGTTCCTCCTCAGAATGCTATCCTCAAAATATATTTCATGATTATAATTGGTGACTCATTGATTTTTATTAGGGGTTCAAGCCAATCTGTATCCAACTTGAGCTTAAGTTTTTCTGGGACAATTCTTTGCAGCCCAAAAAACAAAATTATGAAGAACTTTGTGCTAAAGTATTTGAATTTATCCAGAGAATATCCTATGAGTTCATTAAAATTAAATATCTTTTTTGCAATTCATAAAGTTTATGTATTTATAATGTTCTTGACGTTAATACCCAACACGAAGTTATTAGTACTTTTAACAATAAGAGTAGTACTTCTATTATTTATGCATGCTAAGATTAATACCATAATCAGAAATCGAATAAAGCTAATGTAGTATTAAGGAAAGAGGGTCCATAAATTCGATTATATATATTCACTATAGAGTGATTTTTTAGTTATCTTTTACCATAAAACTCGCACAAATCAAGTGGTCATTTTTTGGCATGGAAGCAAAGTGACAAACCTAGAAAAATCCATTACCCATTTCACTTTGGACAATTAGATCGAAGGAAAAAGAAACTTGAAGAAGAACCATTAAAATGAGGGAATGATATTTGAACTCTAAACCTTTGTTTGGAAGTATTCATGTCCTCCTCGAGCCCTCAAACGAGAAAACATCCTTGATCCCACTATCCCTTTCTTGTCTCCAAAAGAACCCATTCAAACTTTATAACCATATATACATACATATATATATATATATAGAGAGAGAGAGAGATATATACCTTTGTCTTGTTATATGACTTTTTACATTACTTTAATTATAATAATATATATTGTTTTGTTTATTTATGGTTATTCAATTTTTATTTTTTACTTAAAACTCGATTATATATCACCTAATACTCTCTAATCCCACTATGAAAGTTTCATGTACTTGGCCAAATTCAGTCATTTTCTATATTGAAATTCTAATAAATTAAGTTCACAAATCCATGACTAGTCTTTAGTAGGAATTCAATAAACTTGTAATTAACTCATAAAATTTATCTGTTCAAATTTGAGTTAGATTATTACTGTTATATGTAGAATTTTAAATATCGATAATTTATTTATAGATCTTCGATCTATTCATAGATTTTTTGTTGTTGTAATTATGTTAGTATCACAAATTTCCTTTATAGAGAATTTATGTGGGTCTTTGTAATAAAATCTTTTTGTTTATAGGATGTTATACCCCTTTCTTATTAAATATTTTTTTTAACAAATAAACTTTAATTAAGTTCATAATTTACTTGGATTTTGATCCAAAATTTGACCCATCATCATACAAGATATGTTAGAAGCTTTACAATCATTTAAAATTATTTTTAACTTTACAGTAGAAGTTACTGTAAATTTAAAACATAGCATGTATTGAAGAAGACAAGGCAGCAAAAGTAATTGATTTGAAAAGTTTGTTAAAAAATATCAAGCATTATCTTAGTGGAAATTCCATTAATAATTAATAATACAAATTAATTTTACTAATTAATCAAACTAGCCAGCTACCTACACTATTAATTTGCAATTAGAAAATTATAATTATGATTATTATAAAGGCACAAGAGTAGCCTATACAAAAGGCTGAATTTGATAGGATGCAAAGAAAAGTTTCATGTTTGACTTGGGAATTTATTTAATTAAAGATTCTTTATGACCTTATTTTATTTTATTTTTAATTTTTTCTTTTTAAAAATTTATTTTAAAATATGATTTTCATTCTACATGTAATTGAAGGGAGCGATGGATTAAGTAATAATTTAACCTTTTTCTTTATAAAGTTTAATAGTTAATAAAAAGGTCAAATATAAATACAACTAAATAGTAAAATTTATTTAATAATTGTTAGTCTAGTTTGTAAAAAGACATATTTTTTTAATTTTAATTATCTGAGTTTGAATTCACAAAAACTGTCTGAAAATATTTTAAATTTAATTTTTTTTAAAAAAATAAACTTTTACCAAATAAATTATATCATTATTATATATATATATATGTGCGCACACACACACACACATGTATCATAATTTTGCACTTCTCATGCACAGCCCTCCACGTGAACCGACTCATCTGGAAGAAGATGATATTTGATCTAAAGAGACATTGGTATATGCCAAAGTTTATTATTAAATCTTTTATTGATTATGATTTTTAGTAGTAATTTTCTTCCTACCTAATTTAATTAATTAAGAGACACAGAAGTGGAACTGACTATATATATATATATATGTATATGTATATATTGAGTCATACGCACAAATGATCAGTGATGTATTTTGTGATCGTTCCGACATATATATATATATATATTATCCTCATATTTAAGTACAATTAATTCAATCGAAGCTTAATTTATAATTATATGAAATATTTGAGTAATAACAAATAAAAATGAATCAGAAAATCTAATGATATCACATGCTAGAGTTGACCCCATCAACTATCTTATACCGTCGTTTAGCATCTAATGATACACGACAACCCTCGATGTGTCTATTAATTTTTCATTAGCTTATACATATAGATGTACGTATATATGTGGGTGTCTGTAATATTTAATGATTCGTATAATTTATAATATATACATATATAATTAAGAGGAGGTAATGGAGGATTTAAAAAGAAGGGTAACTAATTTTAATTTTTTATTAAGAAACCAAGTCATGTACTCCAAAAAGTGACTCTCTCTTGAGAGAGTCTTGAATTACAACATTGCCAGCAGGAGAGGCAAAATTGTAGTACTGATGATGATGATGATGATGATCAAGAAGAAAAGACTTGTCATCACGATGATCATGATCAATCTGAGAGGGAGTCTGCGTGATAGTATTGATTGGGTCTTGGTGCATCTGGATGCAGAGGATCTCAGCCTGAGCAACAGCAAGTTGCATTTGAAGCTGAGAAACCTGGTTTTGCAGATAAGAAATGGCTCCCACACAGCCGTAAACTGGGTCTCTCATTCTCGCATTTGCTTCGTACACCAAACTGCTCACTGCGTCCCCTCTCTGCTCCACCGGAAGCTCCTGCTTTAATGCATATACATCATAAATATATACGTCGTATGTACCTATATATAGCACTACCATGCATGACCCATCTGTATCTCTCTGTTTATGTTTGTATATACGTATCAAGAGCAAAAAGGGTACACGCACACACCCACACATATATATACAGGTTAGTCATTCACCTTTAATACATATCCATCATATATACATATATATAGAACTATCATGCATGATCTGTCTGTATATGTGTGTATGTGTGTTTGTGTACACGTATCAAGAAAAAAAAAAAGGGGGTAGCATAGCAAAGCAAGCAGATAACATATATGTAAATATACATATATACACATATACATATAGAGGTGGGAGGGGGACCTGCAACATTTTGCTGACATTGCTGGCGCCGAAGACCTTGTGGACAATGGCAAACTTGTGGGGGTCATCAGCAGGGAAGTAAGGAGCGAAGATACAGTCCTTGACGCAACGACGTCGTAGGAGCTTGCAGGAAGCGCATGGCGAATTTCCGCCCATTTTCCCGAGTAGAAAAAAAAAAAGAAGACGAAGAAGAAGAGAAAGAAAACAGAGAAAAGCTTTTTGAAGTTGAAGAGAATGAGATAAGAGTTTGTACTGTATTTATACTGCCAACCACATAATGAAACGTGTGTGTGATCAGTAGTGACGCCTAATTATTATTATTTATTTAATAAATAGGAAAAAGAATGAATTACAATAAAATTTAAGATATATTATTTTATTTTTTTTTATTTTATTGTAAAATTTGTAATTTTTTAAATTAAATTTTTTGGGACTTTGAGGTCAAATGTACCTCCAAAATAGAACCATAATTTTTATGAATTTCATTGAGATTAACAAAATTCAGAGAGGAATCAGAAGTTTGGACGATTATCAAAAACAGTGTTATATATATGGAGCAGATTAAGTGGTGTATTAATTTAATAATTTAGTTTTAAGTAACTCCAGTCAAACAAGTCTGTTTTAATCAATTGGGTGAAAGACACCATCAATCTTCGTGATTAGATACCAATACTATAAATTTATTATAATTAAAAATAAAAATATCAATAAAATTTTTTTTTTTTCAAATAAGATAAACTTAAATATTACACATCTTAAACTAGAAAATTCTAATAATATCAGTCTTTATAATTTCAATGAACTCTGTAAAAGGAAAATACTGATAGTATAAATTAGAAGCAGGTTGGAATTAACATTTATAGAAATTGATTTTCTGTTTAAAATTTCATTAAGGATTTGAACTTCAATAATATTATACATCTCTAAAATATAGTGGCAAGCGCCCAATATTCAAACTAACTTTAGTTCATCTAGTAATCTTTAAAGTTCAGCCTAGAGGACGGAACAAATACCAATCTAGAGGAAGAAAACTTCATCTTTAAAATTTATTTAACCATATATTAATCATCTAAATTGCAATTAAATTATTGTTATATATTAAATATTTAAGATGTAAAGAGCAAAATAAGTTTAAACCAAAGTCTCTCTTTTGGACATATATATATATATATCTTTATACTCACACATAAATACTCAATTTCTTAAAAAATAATATATATATATATATGTATATATACAAACATATAGATTTAAATAAATGGGAGTTAGATTAATTATAGAATTAGCATATAGCTTCATTGAGCCCATGACCAAGTAAAAATCAGCTAGTAATAGTTGACCGCCGCAAAACCGTGTTATGTATTATGTATGGTACATAATTTAAGGCTGTATTTTTACCAATTATGTTTTATTTATTATTTATGGATTTTTCAAATGCTCAAGTAATTATATATATATATATATAAAAGAAATGGTGTACTAAAATTAAAAATAATAAATAATAGAAGTGAGTGAACTCTATGCCTATAGCCCATATTTTAACTAGGTTTCGTTTTTTTTTTTTAAAAAAAAAGTAAATATCAAACTTATTAGTTCAATGAATCTCTCAATATTTTCATCAATAAAAAACAATTAGTATACTAATAAAACCATATTCTAAAAGTTAAAATTCTTATATTTTATTTTAAAATTACAAATTCATATTTTATAAGAACATATCTCATTAAAAATATAAAATTTATTATTTTATTGATTTATAATGATCAATTATATTATAATATTTAATTAAATAAAATTAATAATTTAAGCCACTAGTATTAATAGGGTTACTTTGATCAATTGAGTTACAAATTTATTTTTATTTATGAATAAAAGAAACATTTTATAAAAGTTAAATTTTTTTAATGAAATAGTTATAATCTGTTAAAAATTAAGTTAAAAAAATATAATTAACAAAAGTGTTTCTTCGTAGCTCAATGTAATTTGAATCGAATAATTATAATATTCTTCAAAACTATGAATTTGACCGTCTTTCTCTCTTATTTTTTATAAGAGACTACCAATTCCTACAAAATTAAAGATTGTGTGGACTTTTTTTTTTGATATTATGTTATAATTTTTTAAAATAAAAAATGTAATCATAATTATATAAAAAAAATTATAAACTCTTATGAAATTTACTCTTCAAATAATTAATTAATATTCAAGAAATTAATTTTAAAAACTAAGTATTGAATGTAGCAATAGCCAAGAGACCTTGAAAAAGGCTCAAGTACGTGAATGTTTGTTTCGACCAAATTCAAATACAAACATTCACGTGAACGCACCCAAAAACAATCTCAAACAAATACATGCATTAATTATCCACCCACCTAAATTAATCCTAATTAATATTTAAATGAACCAATGATCATAAAAATATGTGACGTATTTATTAATTTATAATAATAAAATTCCAAACAATATATATTGGTCACATAGTTAGGTAATATCAACTTGGGGTGCTAACTAAATATTATTTAAAAATAAATGATTTTTTTGCGACAAAAACATAATAATTTGATTATAATTATAATTATAATTACAAAATAATGAATTTATAATTATAATATTAATTACAAAATTACACTATTTATTATTATTATTATTATTTGTGTGGGTTGGTTCATTATCTAGATATTTTGGCAACTTTGAATTAATTAATTAGACAAAATGAATTATCTTAATCTACAATATGGATACTCCGTATCAAGGCAATTCCAATAATTAATTAATTAATAATAATGAGAATAATGTAATACATGTATATATATATATATATATATTATGCACCAATCGATTTTCTCGAATTTTTTTGGTTCACTTTGAATATTCAATATGTGAGTGGAGACTGATCTCGTGAGCTTAGACTCACTTCAATCGTTTTCACTCATTACTCAACTATATCAACTTGGATAAA